ATGGCCTATGTTTTTTATTTCACTGGAGGCAAGAAGAGAGCAGGGAGGGTGAGCTGACACCCAGATCCTAGTTTAAGGATGGAGCAGCCATCTCAACTTTTTAAAACTCAGTGAAAAGGAGTTTGGGTCTGATGGGAGGGGCAGGAACAATTTGTATAGTGGGGGTCCTGAGAGCCATTGAGCCAAACTCTCAATCCTGTATATGATGGAAACCACTTCAAGCCAGGGGTGTGGCAGCTCCCCAGCATCTCCAGCTCCAGCACCTGAGAGGGGGTAGCCAGCTGCAGTGAAGGCAGTAAGATCCTGATACTCTTTAGACAGGGAAAATAAACACAGGCTGGGTGTCCAGTCCAGGTTTTGGATAGAGATAGATGAAAGCCACTGGATATGAGTGAGGACACACAAATTCTGGGAAATTTCCACTCTGAATCCAGAGCCTAACTTCATAACTGGCCCCACACTCTTCGGAAACCTCATCTCTCAACACCCCGTAACTTTGGATAAGTCCAAGTCCTGAGCTGAACTTTGCAGTTCAGGTAACTCTCTATTTTGATACTGACCTGGTTGTTCATATGAAGTTCAGTCTCCATGGCCCATTCACTCCTTGGTCTTTTCGGCTGAGACAGCAGATAAGAGGGACAAATGCAGTGGTGGCTTTTTGTGATGTGGACACCTGGGCACAGAGAATGGTACTGGACAGAGACCACCAACTCTTTTCACATAAAACAGATCACCACTGGGGAAAGGCCTTTGGACAAGATTCACAGGCCTGGTCAAGATTCAGCCTCCCCAGAGATGAAAGGATCCAGGTCCTAAGCCAATGAATTCCTTTGCGTCAATTAATTGCTTCTCCTGATAACCTGTTTTGGAGAGTGTGTTTGTACAAGGGGAAGGTTAATCAGCTAGAAATTGTCCACCGAAAAGTTGTTAGTTTGTATTCAAGTTGGTTGATTGCTTTTTTTTGTTGATAGTGACAATATGGTATGTGGCATTCGAGTGTTCTGTTTTGTTAGGGCTACACACAAATGCTGCATCATTAACTGGTATTGTTAAAGTCGTACAAACCTCCCCCCAAGACATGGACAGGTATATCAGTCTAAATGTGCTTCCACTGCAATCGTTTATTCCCATATTGGAAGGGAAATGAGATATACTGGTATAAGTCACCTTTATGCAAGTATAACTGATTTCACCCCAGGAGTTGTACCAGTATAACTATATTGGTTAAAAATCACATTCCTTTGGTGACATATTTATACTGGTACATGATCTGCATGCAGATCCAATTCTATTCGAGATCGGGAAATATGAAGACGAACCTTTCAGAGTTACTATCCACCTAACAACCCCGTCCCATCTTCTTCAGCCTAAATCAGAGTCACAGATGACATCACACTAACATTATGATCACTAAACCCAACTTTTAGATGTTATGGCTTCAGGGCAAGATGCAGATGCACCATCCATTGCCTCAACAAAAAATGGCTGCAAGAAAAGGTTGCTTTGCTTCCCACCCTTCTTAACAATCCAAAGGCCCCCATACTTTTCAGGTAGGAGAAATGGAATACCTATTGTTTTAGAGTATAATGCTACAAGTGCTGTGCAGATGAAACACCAAGGGCTTGATTCGCCGTAATACAGCTGAATAATTTCGTTGAAGTCAAAGAGGTTTCAGCAGTACGAAACTGGGGTAAAATGGTAGTAAAGCAAGCCCTGTTTGTGCAATAAATGGTGGGACCTTAATGTTTGAGGTTTAGAAAAGATTTCCTTTTTTCTCTTTTGTTAGCCAATGCTTGTTAAAGAAACTGCATGCTCTCTGACCAGGAAGCTCCTCAGAGCTACCTAATGAAAACCTTCCAGGTCAGATAATGTTCTCCTAGAGATCCTTGATTAGATTACTTGGCACATAGTGTTTGGAGATTTCACCACATCAGTGACAATTGCTCCTTAAACAGTTAGGAGACAGGATTTCCATTACTGACAGCAGAGAGAGAGAGAGAGAGAGAATGAATGTGTGTGTATGACCTAAAAAGAACAGGAGTACTTGTGGCACCTTAGAGAGTAACAAATTT